AATATAACACCTAAGTGCTAAGTAAACAAAAGATATAACTCATATTGGTGTACAAAACATTTTGTTCACCTTAGCTTAAAGAAATTTACCAATCTGATACTCAATGTGTAGCTGGAACTCCTATGTTACAGATCCTTAGGAATTTCTGTTTCCAAACGAGTGCTGGCTCCTGTAGAACTGGCTAGGATTAGGAATTTCAATTTTGCTATGCTGAATTCATATCAGAAATGGCAAGTCAGTGTGTCCACTTCTTTCTACAAACCAGACCATGGCGTCTTTGTTGGAAGGCTGTTGCTTTCTCTGATCTGGTCTTCTGCTGATCAACATGAAAATAGCTTTAAATTAATGTTTCTTGATTTAAGTGCAAAGTCAACTTCTGCATCTCTATGTCCCTGAAACCGTACTATTGAGGTACAATATCCTTCAAATTAACTGTTTGATTCCTGTGTGTTTGAATAATGGTCCTTTGTTTAAAATATCGGCAAACATAAAACATTAAGAGCATACAAAATATGTAGCTCAGATATACATTTGTGAAATTCAAGTGCACTATCACTTTCTGGTTAGAACAACTGCAGTAAACTAAGGAAACTTTAGTTCAGACAAGCATATGCTTTATTATTTTTGCCTGTAGAAATATATGGTTAACTAGTGGGTTTTCCAAAAATGATTCTCTATTTAAATGTTCAAATCCTATAAAGATTGATATTATTGGTCTAAAATACGTATATAATTATATACAAAAGTTCAGAAAAATAAGTTTCATGGTATTCCTTATCCTTTTAATATGCATATGTTACTCTTTCTCTTGCTTGACAAATTACTAAAGACCTCAATTTTTTTTTCAAGGAAGTTGTGGAGTTAGCAGTAAAATGTTTGTGAAAACATCTGAAGCAGCCCCATTGGATCTTAATTCCCCTGTTCTTAAGGCGTTGGGGTCAGCTTGCATAGAGGTTAAATGGATGCCACCTAAAAAACCGAATGGAGTCATCATCAACTACTTTATTCACAGGTGAGATTGACTATTACTATTACTTTTAGTCATTTAAGAATGTGTCCTATTCCAGAACTGCAGAATCAAGTATGTTTTCTATTTCCATAAGAGAATGGATGGGAATTCATGTTTTTTGAAGCACCTACTGGTGGGGACTAAGAGTGGTGCTCAAACTTTTACACAGTAACATCATCCAAGGAAAAAGGCCACAACTACTGTATCACATTTTTGGTTGCGATCTGGTTGGAAGCTGAGACCTCATAGCCCGTGAAGCCTTATGTTTGGTGAAGCAGTAGATCAATTCTCTATAGGCTCACTGACTAAGAGAGCCTAGTTTTTCCAGAGGAGGAACCAGATCTGGGATGGGAATTGTAAGATTTCTCATCACTTATTATGTTGAGATTCGAAAGATGGTACTTTTCATACTTAGAAAGAGTGGCTCTACTCTCCAGCTCCCCTTCTGTTTTAATGAGTCTCCACTCAGCGGGTTAGATAGTGTGAATGCAGCTTGTTTTCACCATCATGTGCAGAATTTATTGAGTGTATCTACCTAAAATAAGGAAAAGAAGGAAAGACAGAGAGGATGCGGAAAAGAAAAGGAGACAGATTGAGAAAAAAGAGAGAAGAGAGAGACAGAGAATGAAGGGGAAAGAGAGATAGACCGTGGGCATTCTGGTTGGAAGGGTATTTTGCTCTCTGATCTAGTCTTCACCTGATCAGCATGAATATTACCTTAAATTAATGTTTTCTTTGAATAAATAATGAACGGGGAGGAGAAGGAGAAGGAGACAGGGAGGGAGGAAAGGAGGAAAGAAGAGAAGAGAGAAAGAATGAGAAAGGGAGGGTGGAGGAGGTAGAAGGGAGTGGGAAAGGGAGAAGGAGGGAAGGAAGAAGTTAAATGCAGACAGTTCAGGGGGCAAAGAACCTGTCAACTGAGAGCTTGCTGTCTAAGACCGAAAACACAGACACTGGAAGACATACAGGGCTTGCAGATTGAATACCCCATTCCAAAAGCAATGTATTCACATTAAGCATACAAAGAACACATTTCTTCTCGGATCCTCTTCCCCCTCTTCCCCATCCTTTGTTAGTCTCTCCAGCAGCCCAGGCCTTCCTTTGTTTTGGTCCTATGCCCCGGACACTTAGTGAATCCTACTTTAGGGTCCTCTCAAAACTTCAGATATTGAAAAACTTTGATTCAGATCAGTCTTCAGTGATGAGCTAAGGGTTTGTTAGAGACATTATGAAAAAAGAAAGTATTATTGCATTTCTGGTTATGTAAATGACATTACCAAAAAGGGAGCAGGCCAAATTTCTTCCCAGTAAACATCAATTTGAAGAATAATATTTCTGATTCAAATACACACGAACATGTAAAAATGGCTAATGTGAATTTACATTTTACGCTAAGCACATTAGTGCAGGCTCTAAAATGCCCATCCTCTTGAAATAGTTTTCTTTCATCTACTTAATGCTAATTGTATGAGAAAAGCACATCAAATTCCTATTCTGAATAAAGGGAAATAAAGTATCTGTTATAGACCAGGACGTGGCTTCACTCTGTTGGTTTTGTAAATAAAGCTTATGATTACAGTGACTACTCCATGGCAGCTATAGAGAGGGAAAACAGGAAATATAATGCAGAAAGCCCGCTTCAATGAAAAATACTGTAAATTGAATTTGACAGCATTTGATGGCATTTGATTATTCTAGTCACAGCCAAACAATGATATAAAGAGTAATATGAAACAGAATGTGTTACTGCCTAGCAGACTCAAAAGCAATAAACCTTCCTCCAATGTGACACAATCACTTCACAATCATAATTGTAGCCTGTTTGATACCTCTGAGTACAGCAGAAGGGCACTGACTGACATAGATACACTTTGTTTTTTATTTAAAGTGAAATGAAAATGGCACACCGGGGCTCCAGATACAATCGTTATATTCACCTACATAGGCATGAATCACTTGGCAGTTATTTCAGCTGAAGTTTAAATGTGCTTAGACAACAACAATATCAAATTTTTCTTAGATAGCTACAAAAAAAAAAATCAGAAATTTGTAAGGACAGAAATAGAATGTAGACACATAGTTCTTTTTCATTCCAAGACGGCATGGAGCCCCTTAGATACTTATAGCCACAAGCTTGCAATATTTCTGAGGAGGTTATGGCGTGTAATTCCTGCTTCATCATTTGCCTCCTCTTTCTTCTATCACCACCAAAGGAAACACATTTAGCTCAAACCAAAGATGGGGTTTGGCCCATGCAGATATTTTCATTAAATTGTAGGAAGCCAACTTGCCAATCTCACTTGAAAATGCTGGTCCCTGTTCTCACAGACACCACAGATCATTTTCTCTTCTGTAATTCTCTTCTATTGTTTAAATATTACCTCTAGATATATTACCCTATTAAAAAGTGCCTGCCCTAATAAAGAGAAAAGATGTTTAAGGCTTCAAAAACAAAATAAAATAACCTAGTACGAATAAACCATTAATGGGATTGCTTCTGCTTTGTTT